AATCTCTGTTGTATCCACGCCCCTCGTCATGGCCCACAGGTCGCCTCCCTTTTATGAAACTTTGGGGGACAGGTAGCCCGTGGGGTGGGTAGCCGTCCATGTGTTTGGCGATATGGGTCTGCTTGCGCTGCCTCATGTGCTCAGTTGATGTGAAGTGCCCAGGTTCGTTGGCCGTTTTTGCCGCACTCGTCACATATCCAGCACCAATGTCCGCCGCCGCTGTCGTCGTCAATGTACGCCCACCTGACGCCGGGGGGCCTCGCGACACCTGAATGATGCGTCCTTCCTTGTCCTTGGGCGTGCGTGAGCGGCAAGGGGCAGCGCGCGGCCACCTGGCCAGGATTTTGGCCTTGTTCACCAGCGGGTGCAGGGGGGCAGAAGAAGCCCGACTGCCAGGTAGTTGCCGATCCTCCTTACATACACGCACACATGCATACACACATACAATGCATGCACCCATACATCTATACACATGCATTACACATACACACATACATACATACATGTATACATACATGCATGTATTACAACCGTTCACTCATACATACATACTTACTTACATACATACACACACATATACAAACAACATTTTTCACATACACTCATACACACATATACACACACATACACATGTACATTACATACAGGCAGTCATGCATAGTTACCCTGTAACGCCCCTCGCGGGGGTAGAAACCAACCGGGTGCAGTTTACTCCGTGGAGCGTCGTGGTGTATCCTCCTCCACTCGTGTGCTTGCGCCAGGCTTGCAGGTGGTCAGGAAAATGCCCCGAACATCGAAGATTACGTTATTAGAGGTTTCGTCTTCGAGTCCTTTCCCAGAGCCCCGACGTGGTGTCTGTTCATCGTGTCGGCGCCCTTGTTGTCGTGAAATTATCCTCGGGGGGCCTCTTTGTGACGCTCCCGAGAAAGGGGGGGAGGGAGGAGGGAGGAGGGAAGGAGGAGGGAGGAGGGAGGAGGACGGATGGGGAGGAGGCGAATCTCGCGCACGGCGCCATCGGAGCCATCAAGGCTACGGATGAGGTAGGAGGAGGAGGAAGAGGCGGAGGAGGAGGAAGAGGAGGAGGCGGAGGAGGAGAAAAAGGAGAAGGAGGAGGAAGAGGGGGAGGAAGGATTAAAAGCAGGACGGATGAGGAGAAGGATGACGACGACGAGCAGGAGGAGGAGAGGGAATGACGCCCGTCCTGGAGCCTCTTGGTGTCGCCTTGGCTCTCCTAGAGCGTGCTGGGGGTCCTGTGGCCTGTTTGGGCTCTTCGGGGCCTTTTGGGGCCTCTTGGAGCCTTCTGGGCCTTCTGAAGCTCCCTGAGTGTAATTCAAAATGGGTCCTCCAGGGGGCTCTTGAGATTTCGTGGGCTCTCCCGGGGCCGCCATGGGCCCTCCTGGAGCCTCCGTGGGCCCTCTCAGAACCCTCTCGCGGGGGCGGAATGATGAAAACAATTTCGGCCTTTCCGTTGAGAATGGGGGCGCGGTGCAGAGTGGGTCCTCCTGGGGCCCTCCCGAGATCTCCTCGGCACTCCCGAGGCCGCCATGGGCCCTCGTGGAGCCTCTGGGGGCCTCCAAGAAGCCTCTCACGGGAGCTGAAAAATGACGACAGTTTCACGGATGGGAGCCTTGCCGTTGAGAAGGGGAGCGCGGTGAAGGTAATAAAATGACGACCGTGTCGCACTTGAGGCCCCACATCGTCTTTGGGCACCTCGGGCGCGAATCCCCCTCCCGCATAGTACTGTGCGATTTCCCCTCCCCCCGCTGACCCGCCGGACCCCGGGAGGGTGATTTTTGTGGTTTTCGCTTGTAAGAAACACTTCCCCCCCCCTCTCGACGGTGACGGAGGGCAGGCGGCGGGGGGAGGCGGGTTGGCGGGGTGGCGGGTTGGCTGGGGTTGCGGGGTGGCTGGTTGGGCTGGTTGAGCCGGTTGAGTTGTTTGGGTGGCTGGTTGGTTGGGCTGGCTGGTTGGGCTGGCTAGGGCAATTGGTTTCGACATTACATACATACATACGTACATACATGCATACACGTATACATGCATACATACATACATACATACATACATGCCAGATATACATATGTACCATGTATTGATAGGTACATCTGAATATGAATAATTACCTTGTAAAGGTGTATGTAAACGCCGCCTGGGGGGCCTGTCTTTGGGCCTCCCGGGCCCCGAAAACATCCGCATCAGCTGACTCCTGCGGCCCTGGGACATGATTCCCCAGGCGGTAGACATGTGTAAGTTCACGGCCTCGCACTCTCCATGGCGACGGCGATCGCAGCTGGCCATGATGAAAACAAGGCAATAGTCACGAAAGGCGAGTGTATCCGTACCCGCGCCCTCGCGGTGTGGATTCAAGGACGCATTCCCGCGGATATGCGATCGCACAGATTCGTCCCGTGCGGGGCATCCGCGGGGTCGCGGCACAGGTAGGCGATCGACATCTTATCCACGCCCATGTTCACGCCAGAACTCCACGGGGGGCGGAGCGGGGGCATGGAACAAAAATCTATGCCTGTGGAGGCCAAGTGTTCTATCCATGCCCCGCAACCCCTGGCAGCCAGAGGGGGGGGCAGCGGCAGGGGTATGGATCGAATGACGATCCCCGACCAAGGGCCCCGCCCGCGAGGCCGTTGATACGGAGATCTGTTTTTCACCCACGAAGTGGCAAAGACGACGCCTGGCGCCCACCGGAAGGGGCGGCACTGCAGCGGCCGCGCGCACGGGCCCCCCAGGTGCGCGGGGGGCCGCGCATCGGGGCGGCGCTGGCTTGGGCCCGTGCGCGGCGCGGCCGGGCGCTCGCCGCAGAGTCTCGGGTCCGAGCTGCGGTCAGGCACCAACAGAAATGCTGTTGCGCAAATGGGGCACAGAGGCAGAAGGGAAGCGGAAGGAGCAGGGGAGGGAGGGGCCGCGCGCGGCCGAGAGCCCTCAGAGCAAGAAGCACTTCGGATTGTGCTGGAGCAGCCTCGACACCCCTCGGCCGCACGCCATGAGTGGCCCTGGGCGAGAGTGACCTCTGGTGCGCGGTTTGCCGATCGCTGCGCGCGATCCGAAAGTAGCTGCCTGCGTGCTTAGGCTCGTCCCCCCTCCCACCGCGCCCGCCCCCCCCCATCAGATCGGGCTTCCACTGACCCAGGTGAATGATGTTACGCGTTCCATCATGGACCCCTCGCCACTGGCCACGCATCTTGGCTCTGAGAACAGCCGAGAGACCCTGGCAACGGGCGCACATCCCGCCGCGGGCGTTGGGGCCCGACACAGTCTTTGGCGGTCCTCGGCGGTCTTTGGCGGTCTTTCGGCGGTCTTCGGCGGTCTTCGGCGGTTCTTCGGCGATCCTCGGCGGTCTTTCGGCTGTACTCGGCGGTCTTTCGGCGGTCTTCGGCGGTCTTCGCCGGTCTTTCGGCGGTCTTCGCCGGTCTGGGCGGCGGCCCGGCACGGTCGTCGGCGGTCATCGGTGTGAAAGCAGGATATTTCGCCTTGACAAGGTGTCCATGATCGAACGCGTGAACTGATGCACCCCCCGGTCAACCAGGCTGTGCAGGAACCTGTAGGATCCTGCAAGATCCTGTGCGCTAGTCCCGGTCAATGCATACCTGGCTTTGCAGGATCCTGCAAGATCCGGCGCTCTGGCTGGACCTCGTCTCCCGCAGCTCGCCCAAAACCCTCGCCCAAGAAGGCCACTCTGGCAAAGGGTCACTCTTCCGTGCAGCCGCCCGCCCCCTTCGCGAAGTCGCGCACGGAATGTTGTGAACTCACCGTTTGACGACTGTGCCGTCTTAATGCACAAACTTGCGATTCCGACGGCGCATCGCAAATGTTGAAGCTGCAGTCTACGGGGCAAACAAACCTACCTCGCTTTTGACCACCCTCGCTTCCAAGAGATACCAAACGATGCCAAACTACGGCCTGTACTGGTCAGGCCGCTTGACGAGGAGGCGCGTGGTATGACTTGGTTTTGCCTGGAAACGAAAGCGGGGTAGGTAATTCACGCTCTGACAGTCGGAATGTTGATTTGGCATTGTGCCTCTCCGAAGCATTTGTCAGGCTGCGAGGTGGGTCGTGGGGGGCGACGAGCGGAGAGGAACGAGGAGGCACGCTCGACGTCACCTGGCGGAACCAGGGAGGCCAACATCCAACTGGCGCAAAACATCCTTTAGCATCAGCGCTCCGAATGTTGAGTACTGCAGCTGCGTATAGCTGCGGCCGTCGGCGACAAACAGTTGGAGGAGCGCGGTGGTGGAGGGCGGAGAAGGTGCACCCTTACCCGTGCCCCTGCCGGCACAATTTCAAGAGCGGATTACCTCAGCGAGTATCACAAGCTTCAAACGCGAATCTCGTATATGTTAGCCAAGAGCCACTTTTGCTTAGGCCGCATCTCACAAGTTCCAGCCGCGAATCTCACTAGATCCATCTGCGACTTGCTGCGAAGCCTGACTGCTTGATTCCCTTTGGGAGCACGGAGGGGGAGGTGGCGGTTGGGTGGGTATGCCGGGGACGGTGGTCGGAGGAAGACAAGATCCGTTCGCGCCCCCAATTACGAGGGCGCCCAGACACATCTGCGCAGTGCCAGCTGAAGCCTGCAGCAAAACCAGAATGTGCATTTCCCTACCCTCGACGAGTACATTTCAAATGTCAGCCTTAATCGTTTTTGCTTCAGCCGGGAATTTGCCAAATTTCGGCCGCGAACATCACAAGCTTCACCCACGAACCGCACAGGATAGTTACTCATTCGTTCAATCATTATGATACGTCGCACACGTGATGTCGATATCGCGGCCCACTAAGCGGCATTCCCTCTGCGAGAGCCTTGATATAGGAGAAGGGTTGGGGATAGTGGAATTGGGGGGGGACAGGGGGGACCCTTGCTTTGTGCATACTCGAATACCCGCCTCTGGGCTCCATCTACTTCCAGCTCTCGTAGCGCTGCACAACGTTGTTGTTCGCCATGCTTCTCTGAAAGCACTCTTCTCTGCACAGGAGCAATGATGTGGTCATACGAACGCCACGGTCCCAGCTGACCCAAAATTGCCCAGCGTAGGAAGTGAAATGATCAGGAGGAAGAAGAGGACGACGAGGACGAGGAAAAGGAAAAAGACGAGGAGGACGAGGAGGAGGACCGTGAGGCGAATGAAGAGAGGGAAACTGAAGAAGATGATGACGATGTGCCACCGCGCTGCCCAGGGCCGACCTGGCGCCGCAGGCTCGCGCGCCGCGCCGGGGCGGGCGCGGAAGAGCACGAACAAAAAACATCTAAAAGCTCGGAGGGCAGCACCACGGGGGAAAGAGGCTCAGTCGGCGGCGAGCCCAGGGGGGCATTCAGAGGGGACGGGCCGTCTCAGGAGGCTCGGGCGACCTCGGGCCTTCCGCGGAGACACAAAAAACCTTCTGAGAAGGCGCGAAGGCTTCTGAGATGGCCCGCCGCTGTCTTAGAATCGAACACATCTACAACAACACACAGAAAAACTGCACCTTGTTGCGGGGGCCAGGGGTGGCAATCAAAATTAGATTTGGCGCGTCGGTCGGTCTGGGTGGACGGACACCGCCTCGCGACCTACAGTGGAAGGCGATGGTCGCGCCGACGACGTGGAGTGCCAAGCGTGGAAACGATCACCACGTTTCACGGCGAGGCTTGGCGGCAGCCGCGAGAACAATCATAACACGAACAAGCGCTTCACCCTCGGACGGGGGATCCGGCACGAGAAAAAACTCGAAAGCGCGGTTGATCGGGTCACGAATTTGCCGCTGGGACACAGGCGGGGGAGGCACGCGGGCCGCGAGAGGTCGAGGCCCCCAGGCATACGGCTGGCTTCGCTGGGCCAGGGGATGTGGGATGTCGGCGGGAAGCGGCGCAGGGGGCGGGGCCTCGGCGATGGGCAGCGCGGGCAGCCGATGCTTCGCGAAAAGCGGACACGCACAGAACGGCACTTAGCGGCCAGGGCGCGGTACACGTTGGGAGCGCGAGTGGCGGCGCCCGCCATGCACGCCGCCCCGCTGGCTAGGTGTAGTTCTATAAGTGCTCCGTTGTGCGAGGATGTCTCCGGCGAAACCAGCACGCACAGAACTACGCCTAGCGCCCGGCTGAGTGTAATTCTGAACGCGCTGGATGTGTCGCGCGGGGCGAGCACGTACAGACAGGCACCTGGCGAGAAGGATGGGGCACAGGTCGGCTGCGTAGTCGCGCCCCGCCCGTAGAGTCAGGAAGGCAAATGCCGCTGAACCCCCTAATTACCAGACTGCGGGCGGAGGTGTCTGAACGTCCCAAGGCTATCCGAAGGAATTCCAATTGCGGCCTCCGTCCACATCGCTCCCCCTATCAGAGCATCTCGCCTGGTCACTATGTTCCCTATTCCCGCCCGCTGCTTTGCCCTCCCCCTCCCCCGTTCTTCCTGTACCTGCCGCCCTCCATTTCCATGAACGTGTCCCAATTGCCCCTGGCCCCTGCGTGGCGGCAAACGCCCGCGCCCACACGCAGCTGAAAGACTCACTTTGCGTTCATCCTCCAATCCACTCGTGAGGCGCAAGACTTGATTCAACACTGACACTGGCAAGCGACGTCGAGGCCCCGGCAAATCCGACAGGCGCGATCGGCCCCCTCGAATGGCGGGCGAACCAATACGAAAGACGATGTCGCAAAAGTAAATTCGGAATTTGGGGATCGGCGCAAGAAGCTAATCCACTCGCCCGAAGTGTGGTTCTGTGCCTGTCCGAGTGAAGGCCTGCCCCCTCTCACTTCCCCCCTGGGCTCGCGGTCGACTCAGGAGGGGACGCAACGGCCCCCAATCGCACATTCCTCGCGTGCGGTGCAAAGTCAATATTGAGAGCCTATCGCCAATCTATCGGCCACGTACCGCCGATTCCAAGTCGATGCTTCCCTCCCTGAGCCGCCCCCCCCACGGTTCCCCCTCAGAAGCGCACGCCGGGCGGGGAAAGCTGCACTCTGGCGGAGGCAAAAGTCGGAGGCGGCCGGGAGTATAAACTAGTTGGGACCCTAGAAAATCTGTCAGGAGGGAGGGATGAGGCCAAATCCTCTCAAAATCGCTTCCCCGACCCCTCGGACCCCTCCCGGCCTCCCGGGGTCCAATTGGGTTTTTGTTTCACCCAGGATCCCTTTCTCGCGGTCCCAGTGCCCCAAAACCGCCCAGGGAGACCCAAAAAGCCAACAAAAACTTTCACGAATCCAGAATCTCGAACCTGCCCGCCCTTCCTGCTCGCCAGAACCAGTGCTGGGCCACCTCAGACCCCCAGGGGTGCGACGTTAGACGGGTAGCCTCATTGAGGACATGGGGCGATCGGAGCCCCCGTATAAATGTGCCCCCAGCCGAACGGAGCCCCGGTATTTCGACGTCGGCGCTGTTCGCAGGGGCGAGAGCGGGGAACACGATGGCCTGGGGCCCCCATGGGGCCCCAGATCTGCGTTCGCGTTCCCCCGAAACGCCGACCACGGAGTCGGATGAAATTTCGGCCCGCGACGACCTTGACGTCCGCCGATTCGCACGTTTTCAATCCGCGGTCCCAGAGGTCCCGACCCCTTCCCCTGGGGGCAGCCCGGATGAATTCTTGATGGTCCCAGGGCCTGGTGACGGGCCCCCGAGGGCCAAAGCCGAGGGAAAACGCCGAGATTGAAAAAAAAGTCCGATCATCGGAGATCTTGGCTGTCCGATGCTCCACGGACCTCTCCTGGGATGCCTTCTGCCTAGAATTTCGAGGAGAACCCAGCCGTGGCGACAAGGGCTCTCCAGGACGAGCAGCGGGATGGGTAGCTGTTCTTGGAGGCGGCCAAGGGGATCTGAACTAGCTGGGCAATCAGTCCCCCGACCCCTTCCAGGGTCCACCTGGTATAGTGCTTCACCCCGGATCCCCTTCTGACGGTCCCAGTCCCGAAACCGGCCCTGACCTCGCCCCCCGCCCTCCCTGCCGGCCAGAGCCAGTGCTGGGCCACCTCAGACCCGCAGCCAACTCCAACGCGGCGGCATCGATCCACGTCTGCCCCTCCTCTGCTGGCTGGTGCTCCCCGGCTGGGCCGTCCGCCCCTGCTGCCGCCGCCGAGGCCTCCCCGGACCGACCGCCCGGCTCGCGACGGGGGCGCACTCGCCCTGGCCGCCCGCCGCACTCCCCCGCCGCATCGGCACTCCGCGTGCGGCAGGCAGGGGCGTCAGCGTCACGAGGAGAGACCTTGATCGGCGGGGCGAGGCGGTCTTTGCCAGTCTTCGGCCTCTGGGAGCCCTCACCAGGGCCCTGAGGCCGTCAAAAGGCAACCAAGAACGATGAGAAGCTGGTCCTGGGGAAGGGGTCCAAACCTTTGGGAATCCACGTTGTGAAAAATCACGATGTCGGAACTCTGAGTCCGACAACAGATTGTCTTCAACGCGCGGCCCCTGAGGTCACAAACGTTCTCATGGATCCCAACCCTGATCAATTGTTGATGGACCCAGAGCCCAGAGAGGGGCCAAAAAATCCGAAATCAAGGAAACAAGGCCAGATTGACAAAAAACATGGATATCTGGGAACGGGGCAGGAACAGCTGGGGCTGAAAAATCGCGTCGCACCGACGATGCACGAGCGATGCATCGGCGACGTCGATCTGGACAACATCGAGTTCGGGATCGCACCACTCAGAGAATCGTTTAAGCTACCCCTATCCCCATGGCTGAGATGGTGGGGGTCTGGAAAAGAATGGGGCTGGGATGGGGGTCGGTGAAGCGATACTGACCATCAGCGCCGATGAATCGGCGACGCGGCGCGGTCCTCGGACCCCCACTGCTCTCTGGCCCCAATTATGGGCAGCCTGGGACACGCGAGGGGTGCGGCCCCCTGAAGAGGCAGGGGGCTTTCTCAAAAGGGATCTCGGAGGACCTTCTCGAAAGGGAGCCGGGGCTTCTAGGAATCGAGTAGGAGACCGACTACAGAATTGACAAACCCCACGAATGAGCTTGTCGCCGAACCTACAAAGAGTACTTAGAACATCAGTCGATCCACAAACATTCCCTGCGGTGGAAACAGGTCTGGGGAACATAAATTCTGTAGTCGATCTCCGAATAGAAAGAAAGCCTCGCAAAAGGCAGGAGGGCTTCCAAGAAGCCCCCTGCCGTCTTGGCAAGCCGCCCCCTTCGCGCCACCCCGTTCACAGAGCTCCGACGTCGCGGACTTTCACGCAAGGGACCCCCGAACTTCAGGCAAAGTCCCAGGGACCTTCCTTTGTTTTCGGGTACCTATAGGCAGCAGCCGCCACCACCGCTTCGAGCTTCTGGCTCCCGATCGGTGGCCGCGGCGGCGGCACGTGCACCCAGACGAAAACTGCGAGCTGCAGGGAAGGAGGGAAAAGGAAGAACGACAGGGGGACCAGCTCAGGGTGGGGGAAGCATCGAGGCTGAACCGGCGATGCACGGCGACAAGCCTCATGACTCCAGGGACAAAGAACTGCAGAGACATAAACTTTTGGAAGTGCGCGCGGACTTCTTGGATTCGCGCGGGGCCCCCCTCCCTGGCGCGCGGACCGCGCCAGGGGCGGCGCCTGAGGCGCCGCCAGGGGGGGCCCAAGCACCGATCCAAGAAATCAGCGCGAACCGTCGAGAGTTTATGCTTATGCCGTGGTTTCGGATCCCACACGACCCCACTCCTTCATGGCAGGGGAAGCTGCCCCCCCAGCTTGGAGCCCCAGGCGCCACTCAGTGATGTGGTCGGTTAACGCCCCCCGACTCAGGCTGGGCACATTCGCCCAGGCTGCCCGCGCGCGCGGGCTGGTCACTTCAGCTGGGCGGACGGGCCGTAGATGCCGGTGGCCTTGGAGTTGTCGTTGGGCTTGGGCAGGGTCAGGTACTTGCCTTCGGACGCCCGAATGGGGTGCGGAAAACATGTGTACGATGTCCAACAACAAATGTTGTCCAAACCAGACAGCGGCCGCTGTTTGGCAGGCGGCCTTCTGTCTCAAATGGACAACGTCAGCGGCGACACCCATAGCGAGTCCTGTTCAAAATGACCGGGAACTGCTGTCGGTCTTCGTACCCGTAATCCCACCGGCCCTTTAGGGGGTGAGGGGTTTAGAGCGCTTCCTCTTCCAACCCCCCGTCTTCCCCTCCGGGGAGGGGTGCCCCCTCCCCCTGGACCTGGACGGGGCGCCCCGCGAGGTGTCAGAGGGTCTTTCCTGGCGTCGGCGAAAAGACCAACAACATTAGTTTTAGCCATGGTTTGGAGCCCATTTTTGCTCCCTGGGGGGGAAGAAACCCGCCCGTCTTTGATCGAACTCCTCCAACATGGCCCAACATGGCCCCCAAGGCTCCCAAGAGGGTCCCGAGAGGGCCCCAAGAGGCGCCCAGGAGGTCCCAAGAGGCCCCAAGAAGCTCCCCCGAGGCCCCCAAGACGCCCCCAGAGGCCCACGGGACAGAAAAGAGACCCCCAACGGGGCCTGCAAAGAGGCTGTCAAAAGACGTCCGAAGAGACTCCAGGAAACATCCAAGAGGCCTCTGGCTTTCTGCTCGCCCTCCATCTCCTCCCCCTCCTCTTCCTCATCCGTGTATCCCTCCTCATCCCTCCTCAATCCCCCGTTCTCGAGGCCGGGGGATTGTAGAGTCGCTGTGGGTTCCAGACGAGTTTCTTACGATCTTTCACGTTGCTCCTCATCGTTACCCTTACCATTACCATTACCATTACCATTACCATTTCCATTACCATTACCTTTACCATTACCATTGCAACTACCACTACAACTACCACTACCACTACCATTACCATTACCTTCACCATTACCATTCCCATTCCCACTCCCATTCCCACTACCATTGCCATTGCCAGTACCAGTACAATTGCCATTGCCAGTCCATTCCCATTCCCATCCCCATTCCCATTCCCATTACCATTCCCAATACCATTACCATTACCTTTACCATTACCATTACCATTACCATTGCCATTACAATTGCCATTGCCATTGCCATTCCCATTGCCATTCCCAATACCTTTACCTTTACCGTTACCATTGCCATTACCATTACCATTACCATTACCATTGCCATTATCATTACCATTACCATTACCATTACCATTACCTTTACCTTTACCTTTACCTTTACCTTTCCCTTTACCTTTGCCTTTACCTGTACCCTTACCCGTATAATTACCATTGTCGTTAGCACTACCATTACCATTTCCATTCCAATTCCCATCCCCATTCTCATTCCCATTCACATTACCATTACCACTACCATTACCATTACCATTACCTTCGCCTTTATTTTTACCGTTACCTTTGCCATTACCATTACCATTACCATTGCCATTACAATTGCCATTGTCATTGCCATTGCCATTCCCATTGCCATTGCCATTGCCATTACCATTACCATTACCGTTGCCATTGCCATTGTATTGCCATTGCCAATCGCTACCCCGTTACCATTACCATTACCGTTACCATTACCATTACCAGGACCATTACCATTACCACTGTCATTACCATTGCCACTGCCATTTCCATTAGTCACTACCATTACCATTGCCATTACCCTTAGCATTACCAAAACCATTGCCATTACCATTACCATTACCATTACCATTACCATTACCATTACCATCACTGCTGCCATTACCATTACAATTCCCATTCCCAATCACCATTGCCATTACCATTACCGTTAGAAGTACCATTACCATTACCATTACCATCACCATTGCCATTCTCATTACTACTACCACTACCATTTCCATTCCCGTTCCCGTTCCAATTACCATTGCGATTCCCATTCCCATTCCCATTCCCATCCCCATTACCATTACCATTACCATGACCATCACCATTACCATTGCCATGGCCATTGCCATTGCCATTGCCGTTGCCGTTGCCATTCCCATTGCCATTGCCATTGCCACTACCATTACCATTACCGTTGCCATCGCCATTGTCATTGCCATTGCCAATCGCTACCCCGTTACTGTTGCCTTTACGATTACCGTTACCGTCACCATTACCATTCCCAAAACCATTACCGTTACCACTATCATTACCGGTACCATTTCCATTACCATTACCATTGCCATTCGCCACTACCATTACCATTGCCAGTACCATTACCATTCCCATTCCCATTCCAATTCCCAATACCATTACCATACCATTACCATTTCCATTACCACTGCCACTGCCATTACCATGACCATTACCATGAATATTACCATTACCATTACCTCCACCTTTACCTTGAACCTTACCCTTACCATTCCCATTTCCGTTACCACTACCATTTCCATTCCCGTTCCCGTTTCCATTCCCATTCACATTCCCATTCCCATTTCCATTCCCGTTCCGATTCAAATCACCATGACCATTACAATTACCATTACCATTACCATTACCATTACTATTGCCATTGCCATTGCCATTGCCATTGCCATTGCCACTCCCACTGCCATTGCCATTACCATTACCGTTGCCATTGTCATTGTCATTGTCATTGCCAGTCGCTACCCCGTTACCATTACCACCAACATTACCGTTACCATTACCAGTACCATTACCATTACCTCTGCCATTGGCATTACCATTGCCATTGCCATTAGCCACTACTATTACCATTGCCAATACCATTCCCATTTCCATTCCCATTCCCACTACCATTACCATTTCCATTACCATTACCATTAGCATTACCTTTACCTCTACCTTTACATTCACCCTTACCCTTATCATTCCCATTTGCGCTACCACTACCACTACCATTTCCATTTCCGTTCCCGTTCCCATTCTCATTCCCATTCACATTCCCATTCCCGTTCCCGTTCCCATTCCCATCACCATTACCATTACACTTACCATTATCGTTGCCGTTGCCATTGCCATGGCCATTACCATTGCCATTGCCAATCCAATTGCCATTGCCAGTGCCATTACAATTGCCATTGCCACTGTCAATCCCATTGCCATTACCATTACCGTTGCCATTGCCACTGCTATTGCCAGTGCCAATCGCTACCCCGTTATCATTACCATTACCGTTACCATTACCACTACCATTACCATTACCACTGTCATTACCATTACCATTACCATTGCCATTGCCATTAGCCACTACCATTACCATTGCCATTACCATTACCAGTACCATTACCATTACCGCTGCCATTATCATTACAA